ACAACTTTGATGCTTCTACCACTACAAGACAAAATTTATGTAGGCATGCGGAGCAGTTGTTTGAAGACCATCATTGCAACTACTGCATTTACAGTGATTCCACGACAAAGGAGGGTCCCTTCTCTTAATATGACAAATCTTGATCATCTTAAAGAAAGATGCTTCACGCGTCAAATGTCCCCCGCCACTCAAGAAAATAATGCCTCCTACATTATTAAAAGCTTTCTAGCTGTCCATAATAATGTAATCGTTAGTGGATAGAAACTTCATGCCTGACATAATAGTCAATTATCAGACCCTCTCAATGTATCTATAAATTGAGAGTTATGTTTTCATTAGAGATCATCGCAATAACGAGTGCAAGAAAAACACTCCCTATTCTGTAAATTTTTAAATGTCTTGTGAGTAAAATCTCCCTTAGAAGGGAGAAGATGTAAAATATTTTAAGAGTACTCCCATTTCGTGAGCTCTTTTATCAATAAATCCATGTTTTGTTATACTTGAGTGTTCATACAAAATAGAGTCATGAAACCTGTAAGTGACAGAGTGTCAGGTCGACGATGGTCAACAGTACCGCATGCATGAGGCCAACAGGGAAAGCAACGACACAGACCAAAGGATTACACAGGCTGGCTTGAATAGTTTCTATCTACGTAAGTAATACTCCTACTCCAAAACACTTATTGATTAATGAGTTTTCTCTTTACAATTTTATCATCTATTCCCTTCTTATTTAAAACATCATACAAAAAATCCCACACACTCAAACTGGTATCAGAGCGATTTTTATTATAATGTAATGCCATTTTTAACAAGGCTCTGATACCAGTTTGGGTGTGTGGGATTTTTTGTATGATGTTTTAAATAAGAAGGGAATAGATGTAAAAATTGTAAAGAGAAAACTTATTAATCAATAAGTGTTTTGGAGTAGGAGTATAACTTACGTAGATAGAAACTATTCAAGCCAGCCTGTGTCATCCTTTGGTCTGTGTGTTTGGTTTCCCTGTTGGCCTCATGCCTGCGGTACTGTTGACCATCGTCGACCTGACACTCTGTCACTTACAGGTTTCATGACTCTATTTTGTATGAACACTCAAGTATAACAAAACATGGATTTATTGATATAAGAGCTCCCGAAATGGGAGTACTCTTACAATATTTCACATCTTCTCCCTTCTAAGGGAGATTTTACTTACAAGACATTTACAAATTTACAGAATAGGGAGTGTTTTTCTTGCACTCGTTATTGTGATGATCTCTAATGAAAACATAACTCTCAATTTATAGATACATTGAGAGGGTCTGATAATTGCCTATTATGTCAGGCATGACGTTTCTATCCACTAACGATTACATTATTGTGGACAGTTTGGAAAGCTTTTAATAATGTAGGAGGCATTATTTTCTTGAGTGGCGGGGGCCATTTGACGTGTGAAGCATATTTCTTTAAGATGATGAAGATTTGTCATCTTCAGAGAAGGGACCCTCCTTTGTCGTGGAATCAATGCAAATGCAGTAGTTGCAATGATGGTCTTCAAACAACTGCTCCGCATGCCTACAGAAATTTTGTCTTGTAGTGGTAGAAGCATCAAAGTTGTTGTTCATGAACTGTTCTTCAAATTTGGATGCTCGTTCAAGGTCTTCGTTGCTGGTGTTGCCATAGCTCCAGCTGGTGATTATGCAGTGTGAATTTGTATAATTAACTTTTTTCTTTGATCCTGAGATTATCTCAATGATCTTTTCAGAAATTCTTCTAAGGCCGTTGATACGATTTTGATGAAGGATTTCTTCGAACGGGAGATCTTTGTCTTTCGTGGGTCGATATTTTTCAAATGTCTTTTTTGGCTTTTGCTAAGCCAATTTCTAGATAGTGATAAGGGGCAAGTGTTGCTCTTTGAATCCAATCTGGAAGAGAGGAGATGACTCTGATATAAATTGGATCATCTCTTCTTTGAGAACTTTCTTTCGGAAGATCTTAATGGTTTCTATCATGCTGGACGGGAAGAACTTTAGTTCTTGCAAATTGCAGCTTGGATAGATGTTGTCTATTAATCCTGCCGAAAAGGCTTGTTGGATTAATCTTGGATCTACTCCTTCTAGGAAGTTGTACAGACTTTTGGTTTTCTTATCTGTTGTGAAAAATCTTTCATGGATAAGATCTTCTGGGCATGCCGCTCTAGCTTTACTCCAGATTATTCTGAAATCTTCAAAGGAGATTGCCGGGTTGTTGACTTCATATTCGACGTCATTTGGGATGTCAAATATTTGGTCTCTGTGTTCTTCTTTGATCTTCTGGACTTTCGGCTTTAGAAGAGGTTTTTTGGTTTGATTGGCTTCGTCATTGAAGGTGGCAAAACTAAGTCGTGCACTTGTTTCATTTCTGAACTTCTTGCATGTTACTTTATCGACCTTGTAGAAGGTCTCTGTAATTCCCCAGTCTGTATGTATTCCGGCGTGTGGCCCTTTGTAGATTACATAGAATCTTTCAGCTTCTTTGTTAAGAACCTTTTTGTAATCTGGTTTAAGCTCCTGCACAGATTTGTTAGTTGGTGACAAAATTGTCATTTTACTGATTCCTTTAGTACAAGGGTTGGAATTAACCAACAAGCTAGTTTTTCCTTCTGGAAAAGGAGTAGTTGTCTCCTTTATTATGCTTTTAAGCAAAGCATCAGCTTTCAACGGATTTGTTGTTTCTTTACCAGATGCCGTTTGCACTGGAATAGCCTTTGTTTCTAAGCTTTCGCTTTCCGGTACATCGGTGACCGTTGTTACTTGTTTATACAAGTTGATTTTTTGTTCGATTGCTGATAGCTCTAGGAGGAGCATTTGTTTCTTCATCCTCAAGGATTTGAGGTCTTCCATTTTGTAAATTGTTTAAACTCTTTATCCTTCCCCTCTCTTTTTTGTGAGTGAAGTTTGTAAGGAATATGTCGTGGGGATCATATCCTTTTATAGGGATCGAGAGGAGCAAGTGAGATCATGGATGATGTAAGACATACCTGAAGGCACGGGTGAGACAGTCTGCCAGCATATTTTTATCTCCTGCAAGATATTCTACGGTAAAAGTATATCGATAGAACCACTCTTGCCAACGTATTAGTCGGCCTAATTTGTTGTCTCCTGCAATCTTAGTTCGGAGAAAATAAGTAAAAATTTTATTATCTGTACGTACCAAGAATTTTACCGGGGTTAAATATACAGAGAATTTTGTAATAATTCTTTTTACAGCGAGTAATTCTTTTTCATTGCTATGATAGTTTTTCTCGGCTGCTTTGAAACTGCCAGAGGTGTATCTGCAAATTTGTTCTTCGTTTTTGGAATTTTTGGCTTTTAAAACTCCTCCCCAAAATTCATCAGAAGCATCAGTTTCAATAATTAAATTGTCTTCAATATTCGGAAGATAAAGCTTTGGAAAATTGATTAAAATTTTCTTTATCTTTTTGATGTAATCTGTATCGGTATTTGACCAATTCCAAATGACATCTTTTTTTAATTTTTCCTGTAAGGGCTTTCTCATGGCTGCAAGTTTTTCAATATATGTTTCAGCATAAGTTAAAACACCAAGAAATCTTTGCAGTTGTTTTTTATCTTCTAAAACATTTGGAAAATCATGTAAATGTTCAAGAATATGTTTTTGAGGACAATGAGTGCCTTCATTTATTTCTAAACCCAAAAAATTAATTTTTGTTTTGAAAAGATGAGCTTTCTTTTTTGAAAGTATTTTTCCGTATTTTAAAATGGTTCTGAGAACCTGGGTAACATGACCATAGTGTTCTTGTTCATTTTTGCTGAAGACCATGATGTCATCAACGTATACCGTACATAAACTTTCAAGACCTCGTAGGGCGTTCTACATGTGTCTTTGAAAAATACTAGGAGCTTGTTTAAGCCCAAAGGGTAGTACCTTCCATTGAAAGAGTCCATCAGGACATGTAAAAGCAGTGAGTAGCTGCGATTCTTCATCAAGTAGGACCTGCCAGAAACCAGATTTGCAGTCGAAACTTGAATAAATATTTTTTCCCCGTAATAGGGTTAAGAGCTCATGCATATTAGGGAGATTATGGGAATCTCCAATGGTTGCATCATTGATTGCCTTGTAGTTGACAACCATGCGTTTCTTTCCCCTTCTTTTCTCAGCATCTTTGTTAACAAGAAAAGAAGGGGACATACGAGGAGATTTTGATTCTTTGATTAACCTCATATCAAGTAGTTCTTTGATTTGTTTGGAGAATCCTTCTCTATCCTGTGGAGAGTAAACCATAGGTTTTTCTCTAATAATTATTTTAGGATTAATGAGCTTGATTGAAGCCTTCATCCATCCTTTGGTTTTTTCTGGATCAATAGGATTTTCAGAACAAAATTTTTCAAGAAGATCTTCTATCTGTTTGAAAAAGGTGGTTTGGGCAGAAATAATCCTTTCTCCAATAATTCATTCTTGGGTTATATTGGTACCCGAAATTTGTTTTTCATTAGAACCCTTTTTCTGGGTTTCAAGAAAACTTGGTTTTCCTTTACTAAAGGCTTCAGTAACCTTTTCTACAATTACCATATCGTAGTTAAGATGAAAGGCAATTCTATCTATCCATTGTATAAATGGTCCATAGACTTGGCAGAAGTTGTTGCCAATTACAACATCAATTCCTGAGTCTTGTTGATAAATACTGGGAACGTTGAAATGTTCTCCTGAAAGCTCGAGATTAATGTTTCTGCAAACTTTATTAATTTATATAGTGTCACCATTTGCAATAGTAGCGACAATTTCTTTGGGAGCATTTTCCCATAGTTCGTCTGGAATGATGAACTTGCTTGCAAGACATAAGGATGCACCTGTGTCTACAAAACAGTGTACCCTAAATTTCTTATATCCTTTGAAGTTAAGGAAAGCAGAAACATAAATAGAGTTTGGATTAGTGAGATTCATGAGAGAATCATTATTTTTCTGGAGGTTTGCACAAAAATGGTTAACCACACCCGTCTTAAAAGCCGGAGTCTGTTTAAGGCTATTCTGAGTCATCAATAGTTGTTTCATCTTCTTCTGAGGATGACGAGGAATTAGTATCAACATGTAGAATGAAAACACGTTGTATACCGTCGTATTCTTCTTCAAGAGCTTCATAGCCTCCGTTATTAGCAGCTTTTAATACCTTGACCTTGTCAGGGTACTTTTTCCTATTTGGACATTCATTAGCGTAGTGTCCTTCTTCGTTGCAAATCCAACACCTGCATTTTTTCTTTCCTTGTGGGCAGGAAGTATTCTTTTTAGGTGTTTCTTTCGAAGATTTTTTGAAGTATTTTCCTGGAGAAAATCTTCTCTTTTTCTTCTTCCAAAAAGATTTGTATTTCTTTTTGTTTTTATCTTTATACTTTTTCTTAGTATAAGTTTTTCTTCCGATATCAAAATCTTTGAAATCAGACAGAATGTTACAACAATCCTTGCTTATAGTTTTAAGCTTTTGTTGTTTATACATATCTTGACATATTCTGTCAATTTCTTCTTTTGCAATTTTTGTTGCATAAGAAAGACATGTTTGCTGAATCTCTCCAATGGCTTTTTTTTTTTCCATCTTTCAGTACAGATTTCTCCAATGATTGGTATTTTCATAAGATAACCAGATATCCATTGTGAATATTCACTTCTCTGTGGAATATCATAAAGATATGATTCATATCTACATGTGTATTTGTCAAGGAGACAAATATCATGTAACTGGAGGTTTGTCATTGAGACTCTTGCTATGTCGACTTTCTTATTTATAGTGAAGTCTTTATTGGAGACATAATCTAGTCCTAAGAAGGTAGTGTAAATGACATTTATAAGATTATCAAAAAGGTCTAATCCATGTAATTCTTCATTCCAATTATTATTTCTAAGGAATTTTTGCACAATTCCATCAGTCTTGTGTTCTAAAAGTAGGAGAACATTTTTTGCATTCCCAAATTCATCTGGGTTTGTTTGTAAGATTAGTGAAACCTCAGTAACCCATTCTTCTATAACTCTTTCTCTGAGTTTTAAGTCCTGGATACAATCAATATTGAGGACATTGCTCGTTTGGGTCCTTTACCACTATTTGGAATACCATTATGGACAGGCATTTTGAACTCATAGTTCTTTTTCTTCTTTCTCTCGCCTCTGTTTGCGGCCATATATGAAGATTCTGCTTCCATTTCTTCGTTGTTATCTGAGTATTCGAACATGACAGCGTTTATGTTAGGATTGTCTTCCTGTTATCATTCGGTATTGTTAGAAATTATAATATAAGATCTAATCACCACGAATAACGGCTCGGATACAGTTACTGTGTGACAGATATTTATATTAATTAGATATAAAATGCGGAATATAAACAATAATAGTTGCGGAAATAAATATGGGATTATTAGTCACCACTAGAAAGCAATAAATGACTGAAAGCTATAAATAAAGTAAATAACTGTATTTAAATAACGTTAAGCTGTAAATAATATAAATGACTGTATATAAATGTTAGAAGTTAAATAATATGTATAAATATATATAACGGGTTTAGAACTGGACGGATGAAGCGACTGGTCTTTCAAGTAAGTTCGCCAATAAATTGACTGAACATGCTTAGGGTTGGACTGGTAACCTAAAAGACTTTGTCACTATTTGTTCAATAGTTCAATCCGGAATATGATAAGTAGCACAAAATTCTTTTTGTTTCAAATTTTATGTAAAACAATTTGTTTACATAAGGGTTTGAAGGTTTTCTTAATTTTTGGATATATTTCTCTGGATACCCGATTTTCTCTGGCGTCTCTCTGGAGTTTCCCTTGGTCAAAATCGACCACGAAAATTCCTAGATGTAGGTAAGGTTCTGAATAATTTGTGGTAAAAATCTCTCCAGGGTTTGTTGGATGTATTGTACCCAGTTAGCTTTGTTTCTGACTTGAAGATTCTGATCTGGTGAACCGAAATCTATCTGGATACCCAATTTTGTATATCGTCTCTCTGGGGTTTCCCTTGGTCAAAATCGTCCAGAAAACTTCCTAGATGTAGGTAAGGTTCTGAATAATTTGTGGTAAAAATCTCTCCAGGGTTTGTTGGATGTATTATACCTAGTTAGCTTTGTTTTGGACTTGAAGATTCTGATCTGGTCAACAGAAATCTATCTGGATACCCGATTTTGTATATCGTCTCTCTGGGGTTTCCCTTGGTCAAAATCATCCAGAAAACTTCCTAGATGTAGGTAAGGTTCTGAATAATTTGTGGTAAAAATCTCTCCAGGGTTTGTTGGATGTATTGTACCCAGTTAGCTTTGTTTCTGACTTGAAGATTCTGATCTGGTGAACCGAAATCTATCTGGATACCCGATTTTGTATATCGTCTCTCTGGGGTTTCCCTTGGTCAAAATCGTCCAGAAAACTTCCTAGATGTAGGTAAGGTTCTGAATAATTTGTGGTAAAAATCTCTCCCGTATTATCTTGTTGAGTTGTGCTCGGTGATTTTTTTCTTAACTTCGAAATTCTGATGTCGAAAAAACAGCAAGGTGGAGATTTTGTGGTGGTTTAAAGGATGTTTGGAGGAGGTTTAAGGAGGGTATTTGGAGGATGTTTGGAGGGTATTTGTAGGATGTTTGGAGGGTATTTGTAGGTTGTTTGGAGGTGTTCTTGGTGTTCTTGGTGTTCTTGATGTTCTTGGTGTTCTTGGTGTTCTTGGTGTTCTTGCTTCAAGGATGAAGATGAAGATGATGTTGAAGAACTTCTTGAAGATGCAGGAGATGTTCTTGGTTGAGAGGTTTTGGTGTATGGAGAGGTTTTTCAAAGTTTATAAGAGGTTATGAATGAAAGAGCACACAACTCTCTTATATACTAACTTACATATACATACACTTTCCATACATACATACAAGTATACATACATGAAACAAATATCTTCTTCACTTGAGTATTTTTAAAGTAATGGCTAGTGTGTGCAAGTGGTATGCTTCTTTCTTTGACTTTTCAACACAATATATATACATATATATATATATATATATATATATATATATATATATATATATATATATATATATATATATATATATATCGTTGAAACTGTTTAGTCGCACAACTAATTTTATCGTCTATGCGTTTTTGTCATTCGCGTGTTTTCATATTTTCCGTTTGATGACGAATTTATGCAACCTGAAATAACTGATAATATTTGTTAGATAATATAAAAAAAACAATTCGTCTTATTTCAGTGATGGTCACATACAAAAACATTTTTCAACAGGTATCAGGTTCATTTACTTTAGCTATTTTAAAGTATTGATCAAAAAGTTGGTGCTCTTTTTGATATATGTCACACCCCCAAACCAAGGATGGCGGAAACGTCCGGGGGTGGAGGACTTCATGTATAGTATCATAACAACAATTGTAATAGTAATTCAAGCAAACACAACCAACATATATATAATTGAAAAAGTTACATCATTGTATGAATTACATGTTTACAAATCAATTACAATATGTTGACAAAATATGAAATAGTAGACGCCTTAGCGTCCCATCCTCAAAAGCACTTGATTACCTGTTTAATGATTTCCTGAGAATACAAGTTGTTTGAAAAAGTGTCAACACAAAGGTTGGTGAGTTCATAAGCTTTTGTTTGGTATTATTAAAAGCCTTTCGTTTGTGAAAGTAGTATTTGTGTTAGAAAATCCAATATTTTCCTTAATGTGTAAATGTAGTCTTAAAACCCAAAGACCGAAATGTACAAGTAATTTGTCATATTTATAGTAAAACAATGCAAGTTTAAATCGACATAAACTCGTTAAATTTTAATGAAGTTCCCGTAAATTCCAACGTTTATTAATACTTTATGTGAGTTATTATAACCATGCTATGACCTAGTTGGCCTGAAACGACGTTCTTCAGAAGTCGGAAATGTTATGACATTTGTCACCCCAGACCTGCCGGTCTAGCTGTTGCATGCAGCTTAGGTGTGGGTTTGTCAAACCCAATATAGATCTATACACAAGTATCACGCTCTCCCTCAAGGAGACTCTGGTTACAATACAGGACTTAATGGTAATTTGAAGTAAATGTCTCACAAAGTCATTAACGGAATTACGTGTTATGAAAACTTGGTACCGTATGGCCGTACCTTGCTTAATGAAAATATCCTTTGTATAAATGTACCATTTTTAAATGTATGTGTTATGTAATGTATCATAAACTATACCTATTATAGTTTATCAACCAAGGGTAGTACGTGGTAATGTATGCAAACTATATTCAAAATAGTTTATTAAATGTTTGAATGTATCGATTGTACTTTGATTATAATCACTTGTTATTCTTTATATTTTATATGACCAAATCCATTTGTAAACTGATGTGTGTCTAAATATTAAGATAAAATGTCATATATTGCAATAACATATAATCACATAAAGATATACACCTTGCTCAACATGTTACAAGGTGAAATGAAATTAACAGCAACTTTTCGTTGAAAAACAGTTTCTGTTACTGTTCTTAGAAAATTTATAAAAAAATCATCAAAGCTCTAAATCCAAATCCGCAAATTTTGAGAGTTTGGAATATGAGTCTAGTTTGTTCGTAAATTTTACCATGATTTTTAGTGATCTCTAACAGAGGTGAAAATGTTCATAATCACAGACTGGTCCGGGTTTGCCTCTGAAATGACAGGCGGTTTTGTAAAAATCACCATAAATTGTAGAAAACTCATATGGAGATGTGCAAGTAGCCATTTTAAATCTAAGAGTTTGAACTACTTGCACCTGGAACAGTTTTGAAAACTAAAATATTTAAGTTGACCAAAACAGTCCGTGATTAACGTCCATCTTTTCTGATGTAATCTGTTAGAAAAAGTTTAATTGTGTTCTTGATGATTTTACTTGTATTCCCCCCTTAAAACTTAAGAAAAACATGTAAATGTAGGGGTATGAACTCACCTTATGTGATTTCAGTAGATGAAAGTGAGATAGAGGAAGTGTTCAACCCAAGAACACTAAGAAGATGTCTTGATGATTCGAGAATCTAACACCGAATAAGATGGAATTTGTGTAAGATATCAATGATTTGAGTAGAATGGAGTTTAATAATTATGTGAATGATGAAGATACTTACTAATTGAAGGAAGAAATCCCTGGAGAAAGCCTTGAAGTTCTTGAAATTGAGAGAAAAGATGAGAGAATTTTGGAGAGTGTCCTTTGGTTGCTAAGTGTAGAATGAAAGAACTTTATGGAGAATGAGGAGAGAGGATCAATCCTCCAGCTCTTAGAACATGGGAAGAGCTGGAGATTGGGTGTAAAGGTCCACTAAGGTGACAAGGAGTAGTGGGAAAGAGTGGATGATCATAGAGTGAGGTGGTGGTGGCTTGCTTTTGTCATAAAATAAGGAAAAGCAAATATTCCCTCAATAATTAGTCCAACCACCAATTCTTTTAATACATTTTTATAAAAACCCTGGAGATTTATATATTTTGGGGCCTTAGTTTATAAAATAAAGTTTTGGGTGAAAATCCCACGTTAAAATAATGAAAAACGGAGTTAAAACGAAGTCGTAGTCGAAAAACCGGAAAAATTATGACATGCAAACATGCATGTCGTCTTCTTTTATGACAGGGGCTTCCTTGATACTCATTGCGTGTCATCAACACGCGAGTCGTAAGGTTACGACAGACAAATGTGTGTCGTCTTCCTTTATGACAGGGACTTCGGTCCTGAAGCTTCAGTTTTGGGTCCTTAAGCCTATTTTACCCGTTTTTACCCCGTTTCAAGTGGTTTTTGACCCAGTTAAGGGTCGGGATGGCCCGAATGATTACAAAAAATTAAAGGAACTTTTGAGAGAGATTTGGGAGAGATTCGGGAGAGATTTGGGAGAGATTTTAATAGAGAGAGGTTGAGTGAAAGAGGTTGTGAGAGGTTTCGTTTGTGATCTTTTTGAGTGTCCGGCTTCGCAACGAAAGGTCCATAAACCCCGTTAAGCCATGATTTAGTGTCTTACACAATCCCGATGATTGTGCAATAGTGTTTTATCGCTTTGGTTTGTTGTTTAGCACTGTTAAGGCTAAGGAAAATCAAACACATGAATTTTTCAAATGATGTTTTCTCATTGAAATAGCGAATTGTATAATGTAAACCCTAACATACAAGGGTTAATGGAGTTGACCGGTTTGACTTGTTGACTTTGTTTGACTTTGACTTGAGCGAAATTTGACGGTTGTCACAATATAGTTCTTCGCATTCTTCAGTTTCCAAGGATAGAAGCTGAATAAGTTTTTTGTCAGGTTTATCATAGTCTTCATACTGAAGATTAAAGAAATATTTCTCAAGCTGCTCGGAGACTTTTTCTTTCATTGTTTCTCCTTCCTAAAAATATCAATCTTCATGGAGTCTTTTGAGCTACCTAGGTCTGGGTTTCCAATACTAGGATTGGGAGGTGAGTATTTCTTAAGTCCTGAGTATTTTCCCGGTTTGGTTTTTTGCTCTATAATGGAAATATTTTTGATGTGTTCAAGAATGTCTTTATTACAAGGGCAAGAATCAATCTTTTCAGATAACTCTTTAGTAATGTCTGCAATAATTTTTGCAGATGCAACTTCTAACTGCTTAGTGGTTACATATTTATTGACTGTTAAGTCAAGGTTTATGATCAGCCCAACTATTTTTTCTTCAAGGAGGTTGATCGATCTATTGAGCTCGGTTAAGCTCATCCTATCAGTTGTTTTAACTGGTGTTGTATACTAGTGATCTTAAGGTTGGTTTCCTTAAGAGTTCCTTCAATATTTTCTCTTCTGGCAACTTCTTCCACAAACTGATTATTTTTTAAAGAGTTTTCTAGGAGGATAGAATGTTTATCAATAGATTGGGTTAATTTAATAGTCAACCTATTTTTTTTTTCGATTGTTTCGAATAATTTTTCAAAATCTTTTTTGTCAAAATCATTTTTAAGGAAAGCTAAATCACTTTTAAATTGGTTAAAAGGTAGTTTATTTTTTGAAATATTTGTAGAAATATCTTTTGAAACCCCAAGGTAATGGCTTATTTTTGAAGTCTTTAAAAGACATCTTGTAATGATCTGGTTGAGATTATTGCAATGATTTATAATTGTTTGAATACCAGCTTTTCCAGAAGTAGAAAAAACGTATTCTTTCTTTTCAGTATTGTCGTCAAGAGTTTTAATTTTGACTGTTTTACCTTTTTTATAAAAAATGAGGAAAATCTATTTAATTACTTATTTATAATCTCAGTGATTTGTTTGATATTTTGACATAGGCTATCAATTTTTAAAGACAAGTTTCTTATTAAGTTACTATCTTTTCTTTCTGAGCTTTCTACTATGTGAAGTGAGTCCATAGAAATTCTTGGTCTAAGAGTTTCTCCTAGAGATTTTTTGTTTCTAGCTATGTTTATAACCCAAGAGTTTTCTTGAGGATTTATGTCGCATAATTGCTTATCTTTGACATGGCCGATTTCTGAGAAGACGTCGTCAAGTTCGATATACTCGTCTTTCTTGTAGTCTATGCTATGGTGACTATTGGTCAGGGCATATCCTATGAGATAGGTTATTGTGAACGGTTTATCACCTGGACTCATAAGGTCACTTCTCTCAAAGTGATGTATAAAAGATAAGGTTTTATCTATATTTGCAGATTTTAAATCCAGAGCAAACTTTGGATAGACTGAAAACATAAACTTTTGGTAAGCAAGGTTTCCTTTGGCAGCACCTAAGATGCAGTCCTGTCGGTCAGTGATTCTGTTGTCAATTAAGGCCATTTTTATGGGAGAATTTATTCCTGCTTGGAATTGAGATTTTATCAAAAATTTTACAGCTCCGATATGGACCATTCTTATTTTTGATCTAATCTCAACTGGAATATTTTTCAAGTTATTGTTTATTTGTTCCTTAGTCAAAAGGGGTAGGAAAACAGCTCCTATTGTATCTTTTATGTCTACAGACATTTCTTTAGTACTAACAAAGTAGAAAATTTCATTTTTCCTCTTGAGAGGGTTTAAAATACTAAGTTTAGAAGGAACATTTTTGAAAATGTTTTCTTTCTTTATTTTTAAATCTGTTTTCTTAACTCGAGAGAGAAGGTCTTGTTTTATTAAGAGGTTTGCATGAAAGCCGTCTTCATCCTCAACATAAGTTAAGATTTGTTTTTCTTCTGAATTATTTTCTTCAGAATTGTTGAAAATTTATTTATTCATTTTAAGAGATGTTTAGCAAGTCAAAATCCTCTTTCTGAGTTCTGAAACTGAGTTTAAAGCTCTATCAAGGTGTTCTTGATATATTTTTTGCCTGTGAAGGAGATACTTACGTATAGTAACCATGGTTGGTATATATTCGTGAGTATGTTTATTTTGTGCTTGTAGAATTTTGAAATTTATATGCACTAAATTTTTCTTATTACTGAAAATCATTTCTTTATGATGACAAATTTCAACCTCGATATTATGAATTTCTTCCAAAACTTCACTGTAAAGTGTTTTATTATAATGTAATGCCATTTTTAACAAGGCTCTGATACCAGTTTGATATCTATATTTGCAGATTTTAAATCCAGAGCAAACTTTGGATAGACTGAAAACATAAACTTTTAGTAAGCAAGGTTTCCTTTAGGAGCACCTAAGATGTAGTCCTGTCCGTCAGTGATTCTGTTGTCAATTAAGGCCATTTTTATGGGAGAATTTATTCCTGTTTGGAATTGGGATTTCATCAAAAATTTTATAGCTCCGATATGGACCATTCTTATTTTTGATCTAATCTCAACTGGAATATTTTTCAAGTTATTGTTTATTTGTTCCTTAGTCAAAAGGGGTAGGAAAACAGCTCCTATTGTATCTTTTATGTCTACAGACATTTCTTTAGTACTAACAAAGTAGAAAATTTCATTTTTCCTCTTGAGAGGGTTTAAAGTACTAAGTTTAGAAGGAACATTTTTGAAAATGTTTTCTTTCTTTATTTTTAAATCTGTTTTCTTAACTCGAGAGAGAAGATCTTGTTTTATTAAGAGGTTTGCATGAAAGCCGTCTTCATCCTCAAAATAAGTTAAGATTTGTTTTTCTTCTGAATTATTTTCTTCGGAATTGTTGAAAATTTCTTTATTCATTTTAAGAGATGTTTAGCAAGTCAAAATCCTCATTCTGAGTTTAAAGCTCTATCGAGGTGTTCTTGATATATTTTTTTGCTTGTGAAGGAGATACTTACGTATAGTAACCATGGTTGGTATATATTCGTGAGTATGTTTATTTTGTGCTTGTAGAATTCTGAAATTTATATGCACTAAATTTTTCTTATTATTGAAAATCATTTTTTTATGATGAGAAATTTCAACCTCGATATTATGAATTTCTTCAAAAACTACACAGTAAAGTGTTTTATTATAATGTAATGCCATTTTTAACAAGGCTCTTCATAGTTCGAATTGTGGGAACATGGCACATAAAATATTATGGCAGAAGGATGATAAAGTATCACGTCTTTATGTGAGACATTATGCATCGTGTCCAATACGCTTCGAGTATAGGATCGATTGCATATGCTATAATATTTGACCGTTATAAAATTTTCCAAATGCCTAGAGCATTAAGAGGGAAAAAGGGACTAGAATCGGTTTTGACTAAAATAATTAAACAACTATCAAAGAACGATCTGAGGTTCACTGAGGATTTGTCGCTTGTGAGTATTTGGAAGTATAGTACTGAATGGACTATATTGACATTATTATGAATAGATATGATTCTATTAAGAATGAGTTGTCATATGGTAAATATGGAAATGTTTCCATTAATGGGAGTTAGATATTAAGAAATATGTCTAGATTAGAAACTTTTATGCGAGAAGGATGTTCAAAGGAATGTACTTTGAATGTGAGACTTCACGTGTATGGAATTGTCTTGTGACAATTTCCGATAGAATACCTTGTAATTTCATTAGCCGGGTCTTGGTAACTTTTGCGCTATGACATTACGAAATAATCATTGCATAAAATGTTAGAATCTGACATATTCTAAAAGTGGTAAGAATTTGGTATTCTTATACTAATAATAAGGATTGGGGATTGTGAAATGAGTTTCATTGGAAAAGTTTTTCAATTGATCTATTTCACAAAGTATGGACCATAGGAAACTAAAGTGTCCATGCTTGGAGCATGGGACAATTGTGGTTATAATGTTGGGTTTTGAGCATTCTAACACTCCTAAGTGTACATGCAACCCTAAATACCTTGGATCTATGTTTTCTCTATTATACATGCAAATATGATTATCCAAGGTATTATCCTAACTAGCATACCAAAAACATTGATACTAAGATAATAAAATAGATAGAATACATACCTTGTTGTTGTTGCTTGACTCCATGAAGCTTGAGAGCCTAGTGACCCAAGTGTGACACCTCAAATGGTTCACACAACATCATGAACTCTTGGAATAACCATGAGAAGAAGACATACATGTTCAAATTGGCTAGCCCTCAAAATATGTATCACTAGTGCCAATTTCTTGAACTAAAAGGGTTCTTATATAGTGTGGCTATTAGGGTTACACCATGTAACTCATGACTTTACCCATTCCTTATGCTCCATGGGTTTTAACCTCCATGGAGTATCCATGGATCACCACATGGGTTAAACCCAACATGAAGGAATCTTGGATCATAAGCCCACATATATAAGAATGAATGATTTACACAATCAATCCCCATATATTTAATTAGTCTCTTTTTGATCACTAAATTAAGTCCAAATTAATTCTTGATCAATACTAATTAAATAACATGATTTCATATTAATATATTAGAACTTATAATATATTAATATGTCACAAAATGTCTTTTCCTCATAAACGGTCTATCCAAATGTTCTGATGCCATGCAACCCAAATGGACCATGCCGAGTCGGGTCAAGTACATACCAATTATAGTTACGGACTTAGACACTAATCCAACAGTCTCCCACTTGAATAAGTCTAAAACTATTATTGAGTATGACTTCAAGAACCAAGTGGCAATCGTAGCTCTCAAAAGCCGCTGTCGAACTCTGACCTCTTAGATAAACTCTGACTTTTGTCAATGACTTTTCCATTAGACAAGGGATCATATATTCCTCCATTCTAGATATCATATGGACTGAGACATGGATTATAAATCATTCTCTCTGTCCATTTGTTGTTTCCCGATTTCCGATTTATGACGACTGACTAATTGAACAAATCAAATCAGTCCTGGCCCGGCCGAGCATATGGGACACGATTCATGATGTCTCACATAAAGACTAAACCAGTCTTTTGCTATAATATTTCCATTTCAATTTGCCAAGTTCTCATAATTCAGATTATAAATAGGGATGTCGTAATCATAATCGAATTTTAGAACACAAATAATAGACCCATATATAGAATTTCCTTATGTTGAGCCATTCCAACATGAAATTTATATATATATCCTTGACTAAGTATGATTAAAACCTCAATCTAAACTTTTAGAACTGAAGTGAAATATATTTTCCTCTCCCTTAATTATAGCAAAACAATTTTTTTTCCAATTGAAACTTTGTTTTCTATAATTAACATTGCTAACTTGCAACCTTTATCATAATTATCATGCTCCCACTAACATGATGATTATTAGCATAACACTTATGCTCCCACTAGCTTTGACATGTACTCAGAAATCAGCCAAACTTCTAGAAAGACAATACTTTATTGACTTTTTTACCAAAGTTCAGATTTCTGATAGTAGATTGCTTTGATAAAACTTTATCAATATCATACACCTTATCTTAGATAGCTTACAGGTGTGTCTAAACAATTTCAGAACTATGAAAAGGAATGCCGTAATCATAGTCTCAATAGTTTAGACCTTCGCCATCTGCTTCAAATCTACTTGGTGGTAGTGTTTCCTCACCATCATTTCCATGAATTGGAGAGAAACCTTACGACCCTTAGATTTTATGGCGTATGTGTTCTTATCCATGTGAATTGTCAAAACCATAGTCACAAGACAAGGATAATGACAAATCCAAACTCATATGGACTGAACTCAATCTTAATTTCTTGCCATCTGGCAGCTCAAGGGCCTACCATTGCTTCCAAGTTCTTATGCAACCAATTGAGAACTCTAAGAACTCATATGCAAAGCCAACTTTAACTGGAATGGGCACAGAAATAAAGTATGTCAATACGATAGGTTATAAACCTCACGTCGTGTGCTAATGTTAAACTAGAGGTTTTTATTCTTGATTAGATCTTGAAATTCTTTTCAGGATCTTTAAGACTCCCACTGTCCTCTTGAAATATAAGACTATCTTGTCAAATATTCAAGAGATAGTGCGGATTCTTTGTCAAGACAAACACTTCATACAATTGGCCTAAGTTGGTCTTTGTTTTATCCAAAACATCACAACTTACCAATTTCAAATGTACAAGAGTAGGAAACTTTTACTCTTACATTTGACAAGTGTTTTAGACCTTCTTTAAGACATGTAACTCAAGTTACAATCTTAGAGTATAACTCTAAGAATTGTCTTTTTTTTTTGGAACGAAGTATGAATCATCTTCTTGATTTAACCACTTCAACAATTCATAACTCCTCTTCTAATCCATCAGAATGCACTTAGAGGATGTATTGTGATAAGGTCTCTTAATCATTCAGATGATTACATAACATGATACTAAAGTACTCTCCCATCTTTTCAGATTTGAGAAACTTTTATCCTTCTTCCTAATTTGATTCTTCTTATTCGTTCTGCCATACACTGAAATTTTTCCAATGC